TGGCCGCCTGACTATGATCATCTACAAGTTGACCATCTTTCAGATCACCAGCCATCAGACTTAGGTCTATATTCTATTCTTGACCAGCTGATCCAGGAGCATTATACTCCTTCTCAGGAGTCAACTATGGCTAACACTTTTGATTTTTCTTGTGCTTTTATTGGTTTTTTTATGCAAGACAACATTCTTACGCCGATTACAAAAGGAGGCTTAAGATCTCTAGGTGTTTCTCTATCGATTTATTTAGATGATTTTATAGTTCCCTCTCCTTCACATCATATGATCTTGATGTTGAGCTTATCCAATTTTCCTAATGCACTATATAAAGATGATTCTAAGTGGATTCTTAGGGTTAATAAACAGTTAGAATATGAACATTTGAAGAGTAATGAGGTTGTTGTGAAAGATCTTGTGACTCTAAAAGAAAGATAGGAAAAAGAGAGCTTCACAATCATCTAGGGGTTGAGCCCATGTTACTGTGTTCCTTTATTATTATAGGGTTTAGGAGTAGTGTCAAGAGGAGTAAGAGTATATATATCATCCTTATTAATTCCCTAGAGTATGTGGCCATTCAAGAGACTAAGCTCTTAGCTATCTCTGATGCTATAGTTTATTCCATCTAAGAAAACTCATTCTGTGAGTGGAATTTTATTCCTTATGAAGATAATAATAGATGTCTTCTTTCGATTTGGTGCAGTGCAAAAGGAAAAGCTCTACTCTCCTTTCTGGTTTTGTTTTCTTTGGATATCTACCTACAATTGGTTGCTAGTAAGTCAATATTGTGGAATCTTATTTTGTAGGTAATAAACCTTTAATCAAGACATCAACTTTTGATGATGACAACTAAAGGACAACCAATGATAAGTCAAGCACAATGCTCCAGCGGTTAAAGATGCAAGCCTAAGTGGTATGGTTTAATGAACTTGACTATCCGAAGAAGGCAAACAAAGTGGAAAGTATCTAAATCCTCAAGTGATCTCAAGCAGTGTCAACACAAAAATAACATCAACTAGAGGGATTGTATAAAAAGAATTAAACTCCTAATTTAGTAAGTGAGTGAACTTATATAAGAGATGACACTCGGTCATTACATATATTTCATCAAGAAATCAAAGCAAAGTTAGTCAAAGATGAGAAAATATGAAGCATAAAGACCAAAGAAAGATGCAAAAATCACTAAGTACGAAAAAATAAGGACTTGGTGAAAATTGGACGAAAAAAGGTGCAAAAACGTGAAAGTTACTAGAATATCACGCGGAGCATCGCACGCCAACGTGCGTGTAACATAAAATGACACAGGGCATTGTGAGCGTGATAAAAAGTAGTTGAGCATCACCGCACGCGCAATCAGTCCTTTTTCTAGGATTTTCTGACGTGTTTTGAACGGATTTGACAGCTTTAAAGGGAATTTTTGGCATCTTGTGGAGGGTTCTACGAGTTTTGACTGAAAGTCATGGCAAAGAGTGCCTGGAAGGCAATTTTGAGAGCATTGGAAGTCATTGGAAGTCATTGAAAGCCAGTTCATCAAGGATTTTCACATGCAATATTCATCTTATTTCTACGATGAACTTATTTTGAACATGTTGGGACATATGTTAAATTTGTCAATGTATGAATAATTGAAGTTATATTTCTATTAAATTCCTTCTTATACTTAATGTTTTTTATTTGAGATACTCTGTTAATCTGATTATGGGCGCATAGGGAATACTGACCATTAGTCTATGTGTTAGAACTAGGGAAGTTATTTACATACGCTGGTTGAATAGGAATAAGAGACATTTAGTGGTGGCATTTGAATTAATGTATTATTGTATTGCCTAATTTCACTTACGTTGGTTGAATAGGGATATGAGACCTCTAGTAGAAGTGAGTCATGCACCAAGATATTGGGTATAGTGGCTTTGTTAATTCCCCGTAGAAATATAATGACTTTATCATTCATGTAATCCATTAAACATTAATCGTGGAACAATAAGGGGTTCTATGCAAAACATGACCGCTTTCTCATTATTTGACAGCAACTTTTATTTTTCACAAACAAACTCGAACCCCCATCCCCTTGTTACTTTATAAACTTGCACAATTGTTGTTTTGTTAAATACTAGTCCTTGTGGATACGATCTTATTTTATTATTGCGATACTACTAGCACACTTTCCGAGAAGCCATCAATTTTTTGGCGGCATTGTCGTGGATTATTGATGATTTCAACAAAGAAACACTTTTGCAATGTTTTAATTTAGTTTTTAATTATTTGTTTTCATTTTTATTTATTTTATTTTCTTCTCACACACTACAACTAAAGTATTTATGTTAGTGTATGCGTAGTATCCTAACTGGTACCTTTTGATCCAAAAATTGAAAGAACTGTACAGGAAAATCAAAAATCTGTTAGAGAAGCTACTATAACATAGGAAACTTTAGTATAGGAAAATTTACCTGTTTCTTTGGATATCAAAATTGATGAAGAAACGACCATGGAAGCCGACCCATAACCACTAGCCATGGGGAACTACTACAAAAGAACCGATGCAGGACAAATTTCTAGGGATTTTGTACCCTTTAACCCTGCTAATTTTGATTTAAAAAAGTATGTGCTTTTAGGTTGAAGGGAAAAACCATTTGATGGAAGTGTAATTTGACATACTTGGGAGCACTTTGCTCGCTTTTACGAAACAACTTCAATGTACAGACTAGACGATGTTACAAAAGATCCAGTGAAGCTGAGGCTATTTAGTTTCTCATTGATTGAAAAAACCAAAGATTGGCAACTATGTCTTCCTAATGGAACCATTGGAACTTGGAAAGAGTTGGAAAACAAATTTCTGGAAAAATTCTCCACTACCAGAAAATTCACTGAAAGAAGAGATGAAATCACTAATTTTAAGAAGCAAGAGATTGAGTCTCTTTATGATTCTTGGTAAAGATATAAATTGTTACTACGCAGGTGTGCAAATCACAGTATGAGAAGCATGGAATGAATTCATAACTTTATCAAAGGGCTCAACAGTCAGACACATATGCTTTTGGATGCTTCCATGGGAGGCATAATCAAAACCATGACTAAAGCATATGTCAAAAACCTAACTCAAAAGACGTGTTTAAATGAATATCATTCAAAGAGTTAAAGAGGAGTTAAAGGGGAAAATACAGGTACACCAAAAGGTATACTAAATTTAGATACTCATACTGCATTACTAACTCAAATTGAATTATTAAATAAAAAGCTAGCTGAAAGAAGCTTGAATCAAACTAACATGAGTCAAGTACAATCACTAAAATGTGATTTCTGCAGAGAGGGACATGCAAATTGAATATGTTCTACATAAGGCTCGAGTGAAGAAGTACAATATGCAAATTTCCATAAAAATAGTCCTTATTCAAACACCTATAATCCAGGTCGGAAAGATCATCTGAACTTCAAGTAGAGCAACAATAGAACCTTGAATACAAACCAGGGTACTCAATAGACACAACAAACTCCATTTTAAAGGAAACTTTCACCTCTTAAAGAGAATTTTAATAAGTTAATCCAAGCAACTCAAAGCAGTTTTGAGCAGGTAAGAAAACAACATGAAACCATGAGCAAAAACCATAATGCATCCATAAAAATTTAGAGATGCAAATTGGTCAACTGCCACGTGTCGCTATATTGAGTTCTAGAGGAAGATTTGTTGGTAACACGCTTGACACTCCTAAGAATGGAACATGTTAAGATTTAGAATCGGGATTTGGAGCAAACATGAACTTAAGATACAATGGAATAGTTGAAGAGATAATGAATGTAGAATAAGAGGTAGAAGTTGGGAAAGATACATAGGCGGGTGATAAAATGAGTGACTACTCAGTGAGAGGGTATATAATTGATCAACTAATAGATGGAAAATCATCCTTGAGAAGGACTAAGAAACATATTCCGAATGATCCTAGTTCAAAGCTACCTTACTATGTTAAACCATATTACCTGATCATCAGAAAGAAACCAATATATGAAGATGAAGCAGGGCTATTTAAGAATTTTAAGGAGATGCTTGTTAAAATCAAAGTGAGTATTTAATTTAATGATGTTTTAGAACTAATGGCTAAATACGCTAAGTTTATGAAGGGTTTTTTTCCGTTAAAAAGAAGAAAAACGAGGGTGAACAAGTAGTTTTGACAGATAAGTGGAGTGCTATATTGCATAGAAAGATTACACCCAAGCTAAAGGATCCAAGTAAGTTCACTATTCCTTGAACTGTTAGAGAAGTAAAAATTATGCATGTTTTATGTCATTTAGGGTCTAGCATTAATTTGATGCCTCTAAAATAGCTCATGAATTGAATTTGGAAGAGCAAAAACCTACGGATATAACTCTCACCTTAGATGATCTCACGACTACTTATCCATATAGTATTTTTTAAGATGTTTTAGTACATGTGGATGGTTTAGTTTTCCTGCAGATTTTATAGATGTGGACATGAAAGCGGACACTAAGGATTCCTTAATTCTCTGAAGGTCATTCTTGGCAACTGGGAAGGCACTGATAGATATTAAATCAGGTAAGCTCAACCTACTATTTAATAACGAGAAGGTTATTTTTAATGTTTACGAATGGGCACAATATGCAGAACACCTGAAAACCTGTTACAAAATTGAGGATCAAGAAACAAAGGTGGACAAAGAAATGATCAAAGGACATGTATTCGACATAAGGGCACCCCTTGCTCATGACATACCTTAGGTATTACACATCAAGCTAACGATGGTAAAAAAGCGCTTAATGGGAGGCAACCCATTAGTAAGTTTATTTTTATCACAAGTTTCATTTTATGTTATTTGAATTAATCATGTTCCTTTGTGTGGTTTATCAAAGTAAAGGTCGAAATTGGAAGAAAAATAAAGTGTTAGAATTAGTAGTTGGAGAAAAGAAGAAACATTTTTGGAATAATTATGCAGGGTATCGCATGTGTGATAGGCATGTTCACGCATGTGATGTAAGGCATAACACGCGAGATAAAGACGTTACAGGGATGTTATTGAGATGGTCGTTAAATCCAACTGTTGGAGGATAAAATTATCATCATGCATGCGATGAGTTTATAATGCGTGTGATACAACATGATGTGGCCTATACATAATGTTTTTCTATTCAGTTGTTCTTACACCAATCTTTTCTAATCTTCTCTTAGTCTCATTCTTCTCTAATCATATCATTTTCTACTCTATTTTTTCTTGCATTCTCTTGTTTTTATGTTGTTACTGTAATAATGGCTTCAAAGAGAAGCACAATTTCAAGGGCTTCAACCTTAAACCCTTAACCTGCATCAAATGCTCCAACCTTTCCCATTTTAAAATTTATCACTGAAGCCAAATGTTGAGAAGTATCTCAAATGGGTAAATTTCCACATTGCGAGGGAACGGGTATTTATGTGCGACAATTTTCAAGGCTCT